GGTGATGTAGCTCTTAACACTAGATGTTTACCACAGACACTCTCACCCAGCTCTGAGGACACGTAACGAAGCACATCAGGACCCTCATTATTCCAGGTGACTTATTGGTGCTGTGGTGGTTTTCAGCTGCATCAGCAGAGCCCAGCTGACTCACAGTCCGCCTGGAGCTTCACAGGACCCTGAAGTTTGGGGGAGTGTCAGCATCCTGTAAACACAGCTGAGGCTCAGCCACAGTTACTGATGCAGCTTTAGATCTCATTCAGCAGGTAGATGACTAACGAGGCAGAGCGGAGAGTTTCTACCTGACGACAACACCTCACTACATTTAATTTACAGCTGAAATTATTTACTAAGAAAATAACTCGTGTGGATTATTCAAATAAAACTGACTGAGGAAAAACACACACACACACACACTATAACCTTTTCAACATCTTTTTTATGAACATATAAATATATATATATATATATATATATATTAGCTTTTAATCATAGAGTGGAGATGGTTTAACATGATACTCTTTAAATGTATTTGTGTATTTACTTGTGAGGGTATGTTTGTGTCTGCAGACTTGCCTGACATGTACTGTTGTGTACTATATGTGTATGTCACTGTGTGTGTGTGTGTTTGTTTTTTTTACAGTGGTAATTTATGGGTTAAGACTTGGTTTCAGATTTAAAGTCAGAATCAGGTTTAGGTGGTGGATTATGTCATTGAGGGTCCTCACAAGTACAGTGTGTGTGTGTGTGTGTGTGTGTGTGTGTGTGTGTGTGTGTGTGTGTGTGGTGCTCAGGACAGTGGCTATATTTAGCAGCGAGGAGAGAAATAATTCAGCGCGATCACAGAGCAGCTCGTTCAGCTTCTCTCTGACAGAGGAGATGAAGCACTAGATGAATCCTCCTCCTCCTCCTCCTCCTCCTCCTCCTCCTCCTCCCCCCTCAGTGTGTGACAGGTGGGTATGATATCTGTCTGAGGCTCCTGTGGCTCAACCCTCAGCTAACTCTGATCTGCCAGGAGGAAACAGTACGCAGATATTTTACTGTGACTACAGGAGATCAGTGAACTCAGTCAGAGCAGCTGAACACCGACCCGCCTCCTTAGATATAACATGTTAGATATAATTACCTTCTATCCTGTAGGGTTCCACTACAGGTGTAACCATAAACTATATCGTGGCACCAGAGCTGGATATATATATACGTGGAGCAGTCCAAAGATCAACCACAGAAACCATTCAGACCAACTCCAGTCCTGCTCAGCTGTTTGTGGTGTCACAGCTTCAGAGCTGCCAAACCACCAGTTCAGTCTCTGTTCCCACAGTGTTCACACTCAGGCTGATCCTGCTGAACCAGGGGCAGACGAACCACACAAATTCTAATCAGGGTGTCCTTGAGTCTAGATGAATGTTTTTACCAATTTTAAGAAGTTCTGTCAAGGCATTCACAAGGCCATAACTGTATTTTGTGACGTCACCATGCCCGTGCCCTTTGACCCCCAAAATCTAATCACTTTGCCCTTGAGTCCTAGTGAATGTTTGTGCCAAATTTGAAGAAGTTCCATCAAGGTGTTGCTGAGATATCGTGTCCATGAGAATGAGAAGGACGGACAACCTGAAAAACAAAATGGCTGCCGCTCTGACTGTCGCCAACTCGGAGGAATAAAAATGAACAAACTACAAACTAACAGCGATGGAAACAGAGGTCAGGGACTGGTCTCAAAATCCACTAAACTGGTTTAGAACCAGACATCGGTACAACTTCCTCTACTGCTGCCCAGCGAACAGAGCTGTCAGGGTTCATGGTTCCTGTGTTCTCCTGGTTCTGCCAGAGTCCACATGGGTCCATGCAGACCTCAATGTGAATGTGTGCATGCAGTCCAAAATCTGAGACCACGCAGCACACCGACTGCACGTTCACCAGGACACTGCAGTGTTCCCCTTTACTGCCGCTACAATGTCATGAAGTCACAATTACATGAGTCTACAGAGGGCTTTTAATTTGAAACACCAGATAGGAAAGGTAGATTTAACTAACATTAAGTTGGATAGATTTTTATTACCTACTGATATTCACTGTGTACTACACACTCAGCAACCAGGTGCCACAAACACCTTCACAGTCGGACTGACCATCAGGTGTACTGGGACAAATCCTGGAGGGTCACCAGCCCTCTCTGTGTGTCTGTCATTCAGGGTGCACATGAGTGCAACAGAACATCACAATGATAAGGTGCATTGATACAATTGCACTTTATTTCTCCAAGTGAGGAAACAGAATAAGAAACAGAAGAATATTCTCATATATATATTTCCTGTTGAAACTCAAACATTTGTAATCGTTGGAAGATCTGATCATCACTAAAGCAGATGACAAGAAAGAGCCAATAAAAACAAATCGAATGTTCACAGTTGAATCACACGATGCTTCTACCTAGTTATGGTTAATTAGTGAAGATGAAATCATCCTTTCATCCATCTCTCACTCTGCCGTTTCTTTACCTGTGATTCAGACACAGGACAGAGTCGGTCTCTGCAGACACCGAGCTGCTGCACATGAAAGCTTGTAATATTGTGAACATGATGAAACTGTTCATAAAGTCAGTGTAACATTTAATCATGTGGTCTGTTATACTGCGCTCTACATATGTACTGTCATTGTTGTAAAGCCTTTCAAGAGACTGAAATGTGATGAAATATGTCACGGTCTGAACTGGTCCTGGATCTGATTGTGAGATTAAATTCAACACCCCATCAGAATCAGACGTCCCAGACTTCATCAGTCTGTCTCATCAGACAGCGTAGAGGTGTCTCAACATATTCACAAGTTTCATTTTACTGACTCTTCTTCTTACTGTCGCCATCATGTTTTCTAATGTGTTTGTTTGTATAGAAGCAGGTACAAGTCTGCAGCTGTCCACATCTGGACTGATGTATGATCAAGGCTGAACTGGCCCATATACACATATACATATATTTCTAATGCAATGTGACCTTTACTCTTCATTTGACAGGATGAACTCCAGGAAAATTCATGTTGGATAAACGTTCAGATGAAACAAACAGTCTGAAGATGTCGTGTTAAAACAGGTAAATTTACACTTTTCTGGCATTTTTACAGAAGAAATCAATTAATCACAAAAACAAAGCGCAGACTAATCAGTGATGATAACAGCTGGTTGCTGCAGCACCAGGTCAGTCAGTCGTCACAGTCGTCCATCAGCACAAAGAGAAATGTGGCCTCACAGACCAGCAGCACTGAGCTGCTCCACTGAGGAAATTGTTTCCGAAAACCCTGTGAAGTCATTTCTGGCTTGTATTCATGCCTGATGTGAAATGAGCTGAAATGAAAACATAAACACCCAAGAGCCAGAGACAGCGAGCGAGTGAGATCTCCCTCCTGACAAACACAACTTCAGACACGTTTGCTGAAAAGTTCAGGAAAATGTGGAGCTGCTGAAAATCCCTTTCTTTCTTTCCCTTCCTGCTCAGATATTCCTCGTTCCTCCTGGTGAATGTACGAGTTTCATGACGAGATGCTGCAGCAGCTTCCAGACTGTGTTCAACTCCAGGAGGCTGAGCCGCTAAGGCAGGTGCACACCATCAGAAATAATTGGTTTAAGAGCAGACAGGTGGAGCTGTCATATCGACTGTGTGGAGGCAAAATCATCAGAGTTTAGGACACGAGACAGTGAAGTGAAATTCAACCACTGCCTTTCCCTTTTCTTTTAATCCAGCACATGTGTTCACAGACCGACACGCTGCACCCAAACCAGACAAGTCAGTTTCTCTCAACTCAATAAAACATGTTAAAGCTTCAGTGCTGCAGACGATCACAACCAGCTTCACTTCTACAGATTTATCAACATTTTCCATCACATCCCTCTTCATCAGTCTCAGTCTGTACATTCAGTTTCCAACAGAGAAACATCCTCACTAAAAAATGCTGGGTTATTTTAATAACCCAATAGGTTGTGTAGGTTTGACCTAACATTGGGCTGAGAATCATCATTCTTCACAGTCCGCCATTTTTATGCAGTTTAGGCTACCAAAAGAAAGACCATGAGAAACATGAATTTGAAATGTAAAATAAAAATTGTATTGAAGTTTCAATACAAATTGATGGATAACTTGATATTTTGTAGTTGTAGCAATAAAAGAAGGGCTGGAACATTATGTGCTTGTTTCATCGTTCCATCATCTTATAACAGTTTTAATACAATTTTAACAGTAGCAGCGGAAGTTGACTGATATTAATTAAAGAATTTAAATCCCAGCTTGGGTTACTTTGTTTTAAGAGTGTATGAATAACAATACAGACCTTGTATCTTTTGACATTTATACAAAACTTACTTATAAACTTCTATCTAATATGTGTACCTAAACATCCCCTTATGATGTTATTATATTGGTAAACATTGGTTTACATTGGTTCAATAACTGAGTTGTGTTATCAAAGCTCCTGATTGTGTAAATTCAACACTACAATCCAACGAAGACACATACAGTAACAATTCAACAACACATTCATCATATTATTAAGCCTGAATCACCTGTGGGTTTAAACTCTCATATGATCCTCCATCTTTTTTTCACCAAACTCAGTCTGATTAAAAAATAAATAAAGTTAATTAACGTGTCCTCCAATAAATTAGACAATAAACACCAACATATCTGAGCCCTGCAGGTTTTATGTGTCAGCACTATGGGACATTAAAAACACTATTAAACACCATAATGTTAATACGACCTGACTGAACGTTTCCACTCTCAGACCCGGTCACTGTAACCCGATCGTCAAGTGCTACTTTCCGCTCCCGTGCAGATAAACGGTAGTTATCAGATAACACCAGGGGCCGGGAGGATGTAAATGAAAGAGTGGGACCGAGTGAGCACAAACAGCGGACACAACGACACATTAGTGCCGAGGAGAGAGTTCACGTAAAGCACCGAAACACCAGGAACCACCGGACAAACCTGATGATTCCCGCCGGTTTCACTCACCTGTGTGGGGATCAGCATGGACGCTGTCAGCGGAGTTTACCGGTCCGCTAGAAAGTCAGCTTCTCCCGGGGACTGTTAGAAACAACAGTAACGGCTGCAAACCGGGGACAGGACGAGCCACCGGAAGACGTTAACGTCCCGTTTTCACGGTGAAGTGTCCGTTTATGATGAAGCGAGGAACCGGAGCGGAACACGCCCAAACTTGCGAACAGAGAACCGGAGAGAGTTCGCTGAGGACGGGCAGGGCGGACAAGATGGCGCGTCAAGCTCATGAAGGAGAAGGAGGAAGATACCGGATGTCAAGCTGTGTCACCTTCAAAATAAGATTAGACGGGACTTCGCTAAACTAGAATCAAAAACAAAATTGGTCAAGTGTGTTTGTGCAACAAAGCTGAGCTGACTGTTGTGTAGAATCCAAAAATAGACATGTATATATGGTAGAAGATAAAAATATCAACACTAAAAGTACATGCAAATAGCATGTAGCAACATCAACGGGAACATTACAGTTTCTACACAGTCAAACTGTTTGTTAACTTATTTTTTTCCATTTTCATTTTTTTAAATATTTCAATATGCAGAATAGAGGTTACACGCATGTTATTTATTAATTGGAAAAAGTTTTTTTTTTTTTAAATTAAATTCATATATCACTGTGAGTTAATTCATCCAGCATTGAACTATGATTTTAATTAATCAATTTACATTTACATACTAGGATAAGATAAGATACAATAAGATTCAATGCGATATGATACGATGAGATAATGATAAATAAAGATTACATTTTTACCAATAAACACTAAATAAAAAAAAAGAAAAATAAACAAAACTTGTTGTTGTTGTTGTTGTTTGTCATTAGTCTTAAATATTCAATTAAATTTTGTCTAAAAGCCTTTTACACTATTTACCACCGACCGGAAACGGTAGCTCTTATTGTGGTAGCTTGACTATAGCCTACGCATAAAGCAGCAGCAGCAGCAGCAGGAGCAGCAGTGTGTGTGCCTGTGCGTGTGTGCGCGCGCGTGCCTGTGCGTGTGTGTGCTTCTATTTCTTGCTGTTTACCGGCGGTCCCCGGGGACCTCCGCGCCGCCGACACCGCCTCCATTGCCAAGCAACGGCGGCGCAGGGAGCTTCAGAGAGCCGGGGAGGAGCCGGGGAGAGGGCGGGCGGCAGGTGGATGTTTCTGAGCAGTGAAACATACCGGTGATATGATGATAAATACACAGATCCACAGACTCCTGCTGGTTCATGTTCCATAATAAACACTTTAATATTTTATTATCAAAGTACAAACTTGAAGTACTTGTACTTCGCTTGAGTACTTTTCTCCACTATACTTGTTCTGTTTACATTTCAAACAGCTGTTTATTTTCCTTTCAGATTCAGATTTGACTCAAATGAAATAAACCAGATGATCATGTGATACATGTTAAACTGCCTCCACTTCAACCAGCAGTAAAGTGCTGCTTACAGACAATCTTCTCCTCTGCTGCTTCTTCTACAGCACAACCGCACCTTTAATGTTATTATGATTATTATTTGTATGTAGTATCATTACTGGTGCAGTATGTGTTAGTATAACTTTAATGTTGCAGCTGGTTGTCGTAGAGTTCATTTTCATTTTACTGCTGGTAGTCTAATATTTTATAAATTGATTTTTCCTCTTCTTGAATCCCACTGACACAGAAATCTCAGAGACCTGAATGTACATTTAAAAAACTGAACAAAAACAATTCATGAGCAGAGAGTCCAAAAAGACTTTACAATACAATTTAAACAACAAACAATAAAGTTGTAATAACAAATAATACACAAGGAAAATTTAAAACATATGAGATGCCAGGATGATAACAGCCAACAGTCTCATCAGGTTTCAGATCTAGTTTCTAAAACGTAAATAACTTATAAAACTCTCTGCAGCTGGACGGTCACATGATCTGTTTGTTTGGGTCTCAGCTGACGGGTTAATGTGGGGCAGTAAGGTTTGTACAGTCTGACGCTGGTTAATCAGACGGTGTCAGACTCTCTGTTTCTGCTCTCGTGTTTGTTTTTCTGCTGATTCTTCTCCCTGTTGAAGCAGCTGTTTGTCAGTGTGTTATCTGCAGGTTCACAGTGGTTATCACTGATCAGGCTCCACACAACAGGTCTGTCCTCAGGGGACACTGAGCTGAGACCTGAAGACCTCTGGTCCACAGATCAGATCCACCAGCTCTCTGCTCCCAGTCCAGACATGAAATAATCCATCGGTCAGCGTCTCTCTCCTTTGAAACATCACAGATGAAGCTGGATCAGGTGAACCGGATTAGAAGAACCAGATCAGAAGAACCAGATCAGAAGAACCGGATCAGAAGAACCAGATCAGAAGAACTGTATCAGATTAACCGAATCAGATTAACCGAATCAGAAGAACTGGATCAGAAGAACTGTATCAGATTAACCGGATCAGGTGAACCGGATCAGAAGAACCAGATCAGAAGAACCGGATCAGAAGAACCAGATCAGAAGAACTGTATCAGATTAACCGAATCAGAAGAACTGTATCAGATTAACCGAATCAGAAGAACTGGATCAGATTAACTGGATCAGATTAACCGAATCAGAAGAACCGGATCAGAAGAACCGAATCAGAAGAACCGGATCAGAAGAACTGTATCAGAAGAACCGGATCAGAAGAACTGGATCAGATTAACCAGATCAGATTAACCGGATCAGAAGAACCAGATCAAAAGAACCAGATCAGAAGAACTGTATCAGAATAACTGGATCAGAAGAACCGGATCAGGTGAAGCAGGAGTTTAGTGTTTGACCTTTGAACCTTTCAGGGTCGGCTGTGACTGTGAGGCAGGACGACCCGAACAGAGCTGGGCTCGGAGCTGTTTTGGTTCGTGTTTGATGCAGATTAACGGATGTTTTCAGAAAACATGAAGAGAAACAGCTGAGTGAGGACGGGGTCGTGACCTCTCTCTCTCTCCGCTGCCTGTTCACACCTGCACGCTGAGATTCACTGTTCCCTCACCTGTACTGCAGCCATGTGTGCACTGTGTATACATTATGCACATTATATGGCCTAAAGTATATGGACACTCTGACTGTCTGTTTACATTGTGTGCCTTTGGTCTGAGGCTGTTTCCTGTTTGTGTCTCTTCCTCCACTGAAGGAAATCTGCAGCACAGAGATATTTGAGACGATGTTCTTCTGAATCAGCGTCAGTGTCTGAGTTCGGTCCTTTCCTGTTTCCCTCCGAATTCATCTTAAATATGAACGGACTCTGACCTGATGAGGATCTGACTTGGATCTAAACGTGGTTTATTTGGTTATATGTTGAGACATGGAGTCAGTGTGTGCAGGTGTCATTGTTTTTTAAATAGACTCACACCTGTGTGACACATCTGTCCCCACACTGTTGGACAAACTCAACACCTACCTTTTTAGTCTGGTGTTTAATTGAATTTTATGTATTTATCTTTCTATTTATTTATATATTTTAAGCTCTTTTACTGGTATTTTATTCTTTGATTATTTTCTTACTATTTCTCTTACTTTCTTACTTTAATTTATTTCTACTTTTATTTTTGGTTTTATTCTCTTCCAAACATCTCCTCTCTTTTAGCATTTTATTATTTATCATTTACTACTCCGTCTTAATTCTTAATATTTCATGTGATTTTTTTTTTTTTTTTCAAATATCTTTTTATTGAGGACAAGGTATAAGAAGACAGTTGTACAAAAAGGTAATATTTTTCCTTTTTCACAGAACACATATACAAACGAATACGTCCACCCCACCCACCCCCCCACCCTACAACATCGAGTGCATCCTAATCTAAGGAAATGAGTAAAGAAATAGATGAATAAAAGTTATGAAATTGATATATATAAGGGTATCAGTCAACAGGTATAGGTAATTAAGCAGAGAAAGAAAAAAAAAAAAAAAAAAAAAAAAAAAAAAAAAAGTTGCGGTAGCTAATTGAAAGTACTATGAAAGTAAAGCCTTAAGAATAAGTGAGAGGCTGCGTTTGCCGTAGCGACACCAATGCATCCGTCCCGCAGGACCTAGTAAACGATGGATTCACGAGTGTTGCAGGAAGGGTTGTTCAAGTTGTTAATGAAGACATAATTGGACTCCAGGTGGAAGTAGAGAAGAGGTCCTTTTCGACACCTCTCAGTGTGTGTTTGACTCTTTTCAAGACTTAAAATGAAGCATAACGTCAACTCTCATCCATAGGAGGCATTGGAGTGGTCTGGAGGATTTTCCAGTGCAAAATAAATCCTCCTACGAGCAGTAGAGTTGCAAATGCTATAACGTCCTTATGCTTATAGATAGTCTGCTGTTCGGCTGGCAACTATAACCGAAGATGGCAGAGTAGGGCTTAGGTTGCAGATTTAGGGATAATGCTTGGTGAAAGAGTTCTGAAAGATTGTTGCACAGTAGTCTGAGAGGAGAGAACATGACCAGAAGACATGTGTGTTTGAGTTTGCCGAGGCAGCAATTGCATCTGCTGCAATTCTTTATCCATCTCGGGATGAAATCTGGCCAGCCATAGATTTGGAGAGTGTGGGTGGTGCAAAGACTTTAAACGTGGAATTTACCCTAGCGCTGCACATGAATAGTTCCAATTGACTCTCTTTCAGAGGCCATCAGCCCAGGATTCTCCAGGTATTACAATCCCCAAGCTCCTCCTCCCATTCACCTTAATCCTTATTGAAGAGAGTTGTCTCCTAGAGAATGATATGTGGAGTAGATTCTTGAATGAAGCCTTTTAGTTGGAGGAATTTGGAGGATGTCGTCCATACAGTAAGTTGGGGTGCCGCTCGGGAAGTTTGTATCTAAAATTTTGCGATGAAATGTCGGACCTGGAAATAGTCGAAATAAGGCTTGAGGTGGGGAGGTTGAAATTTTTGAGAGAGATGACTAAAGATAGAGTAAGACACCCTTCGCTGTAGGAGATTTTAAATTTGGAGAGCCTAGTCTTTTTCCACTGGGCAAAGGCGTTGTCTTAATCTAGGCGGGACACAAAGAGGTGATTAATCACAGATAGGGGCCAGAATGAGAAAAATCAGTTTAACCAAAGTGGGTTTCGAAATGTGACCAATTCGTAAAGTATTATAACAACAGGGTTAGAAGATAAAGTGGAGTAGACAGGGGAGGCTCGAAGTAACCAGGGCGGAAGCGATGTCAATAGCACGACTTCA